CCGGAATCAAAGATTCACTCATGTGTTAAAACAGTATTTGGAAGTTCACTCTGGCCAGAAAATGAAATTCCAAACATGGTAATTTCTGGGATTAAAATCTATCCAAGATTCTCTTTGGCTTTATTTTTTCCAATCAATTTTAATCACCTATGACCAATTTCAAGAAATGAATTTTTACCGTGCTTTAAGATACAAATTCTAGATCGCAGATTTTTGCTTTACACAATCACTGGTGGTTTCTTAAAGGGACATTACATTAACCACACATACTTCACACAGATACAGGCACACAACATACTTACAAATCATAATACATTCACAAAATGCAAACTAAAACTTCAAAGTATCCCCAGATCTCAAGCTCCAGGGAACAAAAAGACACATGGACAAGGAGAACCACCACTTCGACTGGGACAACACCAGGATCCTGGGACAGGCTAGGCAGAGACAGGCACGAGAATCCCTAGAAGCATGGCACTCCACGAAGCATGCTATTAATAAACACATTGAATTCGACCCCATATACATTCCATTATGAAGGAAAACCGGAAGTGAGGCAATCCATCTCAACGGACCCCAGAGTTTAAAAACCAGGTGGGAAAACATACCGATGCTTCATCAGAGGCTGCGCTGAGGATGTTACCCAGAATGGTAATGAAACGTCTGTGAAGCAAGAAACTAGCTTGGCGAGCCAACCAACCTCAACACCCACAACCCGAGCTACAGATCTACTCCAAAACCTTACAAAGACACAAATGATACAGGGCGACATTTAGCAACCAACAAAGGTGCATTCAAACCAGACAACAAAGAGTTAACATTTCTACAAAATCCAGTGCACTTGCTCAGCACAAAAACCTCAACTCCAGTTATAACCCGTCCCCCATCCTTACAGGGGTCCTAATTATGCTAGCATGTTAGCTAAAGACCCAAATCCAAAGTCTGCCACATTCTACCCTGGAATACAGAAGGTCTACGGTGCATCACGTTGATTTTCCCTTCTTTTACACGTTTTCCCGAATTCCATCCCTTGTCGCTAAAAATGTCTTGGATCACAGCGTGCATCCAAGCGGTTTTTTTCAGACTTGGTTAAATGTAATTAAGAGAGTAGGCCCGACAACAGCCATTTGCTTAAATATTGAGTAATAATAAAAGGAAAAAAAAGAGGAAAGAAACAATAAGCCTCACGCCCTTCAGGCCATTGGGGTCCCCTCGATTGATGGCCAGTCTGGAGGATGAGCTTGTTCCTGGCATCATGCACCATCCTGATCCGAGGTGAAGTTCAACAACTTGGGACAAAACTCTCTCTCTCTCTTATACAGTGTAACAAATGGCAAGGCACAGAAAAACACAACTACAGAAACAAAAACTTCAGGCCAGTACAGAGATACAAGCTACAGGTGTCGTCTTCAACCCATAGAGGAATGCTCACAGGATTCCTTCAAGGTCATGCAGCTTGTCAAGTATCATCATTAGCTTTCCCAGCCTATTTCCCCATCCTATACGATCTATTTTCTCACGCAGCTGTTGAATATTATCATTAGCAGTTAGCTCTTCAGCCCATCCTCTACAGAGGGGAAGGACTTCTCCAATATCCCTGAAAATTCCCAGTCTGCAAGGATCTAAGAGGAACAACAGCTCCTTACTGTAAATCTATGGTTCTTGGTTACTGATCCCTCCAACATGGAAAAAAGTTCCTTCCTAACTATCTAAGCTTCTCATGGTATATACATCTCAATCATCTCCCCCCTCAATCTCCTCCACACTGAGAAAAACAAATCCAATCTATCCAGTCTCTCCTCATAACTGAAACCTTCCAGGCCAGGCAGCATCCTGGGAAATCTCCTCTGCATCCTTCCCACTGTGATTACATCCCTCTTACAATGTGAATTCCGGAACTACACACAATATTATAAATATGACTTGACCATTGTTTTATACATATCACTGGTCTTGTGATTGAGACACAACTCTTAACATGGCAACTAGTGGAATTTAAATTCAATTACTTAATAAATATCTGTAATTGAAAACTAGTTGTGTCTCAGTAATGGTGACCATTGCTTGTCTTAAAAATTCACCTCATTTACTGTTGAGGGAAGGAAATATTCTGTCTTTATGATTCTAGATTCACAGCAATGTGGTTGACTCTTAATTGCCCTCTGAAATGACAAGGCACTTGAGTCAAGAGCAACTGCAGATGGATAACAAATGCTGACTTTGCCAGTGACATGCCATATTTAAAAAAAGTAGTCTCCAGCAATCATCACTTTGTGTCAGCTACTATTGAAGAACATTGACCTTAATGAAATTTTCCTATAAGTTAGTTGCCAAATTGCACTTTTCCTTGGAATTTATCATTGTACATCTGTGCTCCACAGATGAGAATTGCAACTACCTAAAAATAGAGGAATGGAAAGCTTCAGTCCTGAGGACAGATACCTAGAAGGAAGATCTATTACTCTGACCGTTTTGGTTTACAGAGGGTCTCTGTGGTCATTGAGGGAAAAGGTTTGGGTAAAAAGGACAGATTGCATTGTGTATAGAAGGAAGATGCTGCAAATCTGAAACAGGGTACAGAGAATGCTAAAGATTGCTCAGCAGGTTTGGCAGCGTCTGCGGAGAGAAACAATTAACACCTCAAGTCTGATATGATTCTTCTTCAGAAATGGACTACATTGCATTCCTGCTTAAACCTTCAGGAAGAAAAGTGAGAAAGGAAGAAACTTCCAGTCACAGAACTAAAATAGCACTAGGGAAGTTCATAACCGCATTGCAAAATAGAACCTAAAATTGTGAAGTTGTATACATTACAGTAACTAAATTGTAGGACACGGTATCAAAGAGGAACTAATAGGAGCTCGTCAAAAGCGTACAGTGATTATTATGAGGGATTTTAACCTAGCCTAGAAAAATCAGATGGGAAAAATTGATTTAGATGAGGAATTTGTTGAATGTTTTTAGGACAATTGATTAAATCAGCATGTTACAGCATCCACCAGAAAGCAAGCTACACTAGACCTGGTTTTGACTGAGATAGGATTAATTACTGACCTCATAGTGAAAGTGCCCTGGGTAATATTCCAGAAAATGTGGAATTGCTACATTCTGACAAATTTTAAAAAATCCTAAGGCATAGACCCATCATCTGTAGTTAACTAAAAAAGTCAAAGATAGTATCAAACTCAAAAAGACATATACTTGTGCAAAGATTGGTGGCGTGTCACAAGATTGGACAGAATGCAATAAACAGCAAAAAAATTACAAAAAGATTTATAAGGTGGGGAGTGGATTAGAGTACAAAAGTTAGCCAGAAGTATAAAAACTAATTCTTCAAGTATTTAAAAGAAGAGTTAGCAAAGTAAGTGTTGATCCTATAAAAAATCAATCTGGAGAATTAGAAATGGGAGATGGACAGATGATAAACAAATTGATCAATTATTTTGCATCAGTCTTCACTCGAGAGGATACAAGTGGCGCCCTGGAAATAGCCGTAAATCAGGACTGGAAAGGGTGGGAGGAATTCAAGAAAATTACAATTACTGGGGAAGTAGCATTGAGTAAATTGTTGGAACTGTGAGTTGACAAGTTCCCGTCTCTTGATGCATGACATCCTAGGCTTGTAAAAGTAGTAGCTGGTTTGATAGCTGATGCATTGATTTTAATTTCCCAAAACTCATTAGATTGAGGAAAGGTACATTTAGATTTGAAAATAGCTAATGTAACTTCTTTATTTGAAAAGGGAAGCAGAAAGCAGGAAACTACAGGCCAGTTAACTTAGCATCTGTCATAGGGAAAATGTTAGAAACTGTACAGAGCCCTGAGAGGCCACAACTGGAACACTGTGTACAGTACTGATCATCTTGGTCACAGAAGCATGTTAATGCACTGGAAACAGTTCAGAGAAGGTTTACTAGACTAATACCTGGAATAAGTTGATTGCCTTATTAGGAAAGGCTAGAGACGCTAGGGGAATCTGGAAGAGTCAGAGATGACTTACCAGAACATATAAGATCCTGAGGGAACTTCACTGGACAGATGTCAAAAGGATATTTCCTCTCGTGGGGGGAATCTAGACCCAGAGGTCATAGTTTAAAAATAAGGGTTTGCCCATTTATGACAGAGAAAAGGTAACATTTTTTGCTTTAAGGGTTGAAAATCTTTGGAATTCCCTTTCACACATAATAGCAAGTGCAGAATCTTTCATTCTTTTTATGGTAGAGGTAAATAGATTCTTCATTACCAAGGGGATGGATGATTATCGGGATATTCAGGTGACGCGAGGTTAAAATGAAATCAGCTATAATCTCACAGAATGGCAGAGCAGCCTCAAAGGGCCGAGTAGCCGCCTCTTGTTCCTCGTTCGTAACTAAGTTCATAAAATATAAATCTACAACAAATGGGCTACATGTATAACCTGGTATATTTCCTTCTGGAATACCTGACTGTGTAAGGACATGCCATTGGAAAAGGTAAACATTAACTTTACAGAAATTTGTTTTTAATTGCTTTTATAGTCTGTTGAAAACACTGTGGAGAGGGTATCAAAAGTTGCTGGAAAAAAGCAGCCCAAGTTGAATGAAGATGCCTTTTTGTCAGGAATCAGGAATAAGTAAACAATCTAATTATTTGAGTGAACTTTGTAATAAAATCTGCTTGCTGTGCTAGCTATCTTCAGATTAAAGTTGGGCTGTAATTACACCACCGAAGAAAGGTAGCTTAGTAGCAATCCAGACCATTTATGTAAACTCAGCCTTCTTGTCAACGTTGTTCTCAGGTTGCAAGAATGCAAACCACAAAAATCATCTCTATGAACAAAATAGAGACAGTGTCAATTTACAGACTTGATATCCCATATACTGCTACTGTCATTGTGTGCTTCACTGTGCAAGACTTTTGTGAGTCCTAAGGTTAAAAAGAGACTTATTTCCAATTGCTTTTCTCAGCATGAACATGACAATGGTGCAAGATTAATGGAAAGAATATTCAGGCGTGAGAGATACATTTTGCTTATTGCATTTTATTATGAAACATATTTCAATCAAAGCACAGACGTAATTACAAAAAGGTTTTCTAGGGAACACGTAGAACAGGCATGCCCTAATTAATAAAACTCTACTATCTTGATCAATTAATAAACAAATTATCTATTTACTGCTGTAATATTACACAGTTAAGAGTAATACTTGGTTGAAGGTAAAAACCTGGGTTTTCCCAATAAATGGGAAATACCTAAAGACAAATCAACAGTACAAAAGATGGTGAAAAGAAATCAAATTGAATGATTAGTGTAATGTATAACGTTTTTAAAAAGTTCAACATTTTAATTCAAATGACCATCTTTTACACAATTCACAAGTAGGAGCTTTGACAGTTTTCCATCTTTTGAGCTGCTATATTGTTTGCACAGCTCCAGGCAAAATCTCTATCCTTGCAATTGCCCTGCATGGTGATAAATTGGACTATTATTCTGACATGGCAGATCCATCAGACAGGTTATGAAGTGTTTCTCGCAACACCTGCAGTCTCATTCTAAGTCTCCCCCTGAGCCTGCCCCAAGCTCCGTCCTCCAAGTGTAGGGGAAAACCACAGGCCACCACTGTGGCGCCATCCTTGGTTGTGTCCAATCAATAAGGCCTTATTTCCTGTCCATTTGCTGAGGTCACAGCAGCAAATCTCATTAATTATTTCTGCCCTTGCTGCCTCCAGTGTGCTTCTGGCTTGACAAGGGAAAACTGTTTGACCTTTGTGCAAATTTGTTTACAGGCATGCAAGGAGAGGTAGGAGAAAAGACTTTGTGAACCTGCTTTGTTTCACTGATTTCTAAAAAAAACCTTTCTCTATCGCTTTGCAACATTTCTGTCAGTACAAACCATTCATTTCGTTTTTGAAAGATGGATTAAGTAGCAGGTCTCACCAACAATTTATGCAGATAGATTATCGTTTGATTTTGCTGCGTGTGAGATTTCTCCTTTCAGAATTTGGTCACAGCATAAACAATCTTTTCCAGAGTTGATCTGGCTTCAGAAGTAGGGAAGCATCGGAGGGCTTCCAAAGCCCGGTTTCCATGGTAACGGCATAAATCAAGAGATGAACTCACACCTTTCCCAGTTTTGATTATTCGATGCAGCTACAGTAGAAAGAGAAATAAAGAACTTGTGTAAGTGCACATTTGATATTCTGTACTGCAGAATAAGTAGCTGCCATCTATATTAAAGCAAACATGATCTAGTCAGTCTCTAGCATACTTAATGATATAATCCATTGACACTAATGTACTACCTCTATTTTAATACATTTAAGAAAGATAAGCATATTTATCAGTTTGACCAACAGGTTCTGTGTTCTCACTTGTAAAATAAAGCTTTTGCAGACAGGTGTTAAGTAGTACCTGCAGTGCATTATGAAGAACGTAAAGATACATTCCTATTCGTAATCATATATGGCTCAAAATACAGCAGGAAACTGTTAAAATGCATATTCATGCAAAGTAATTTCATGTGTTCCAGAAACCTTCCAAGAGCCCAAGTATTCATAGATTTTAAAGTTACTCATTTTAAATGTTATTGAAAAAATTATGGATGCAGAGAGCTCAATTTTTTAAGAAAAGCTATGTACTTTAAATTGAGACATGAGGAATGCACCCATAATTACATTAGCATCTCCAAAATCTGAATGACTAAATTATTCAAAGGTCACTTTAATTTACTCCAAATTAACATTTGATACAATCAGTCTTAACAAAAAGGGCTGAATTTCACACATTAGGAACTTTAAATAAGCCATTAATGTTCCTTAAACAAATTAATTTCTTGACATCCACTGACTAAAAAGTCAGTTTTGACCCTGAACTGTTTTCCATCCTAAACCATCACACACATGGTCTAGTTCCACCTCTGTGCTCTCTGCTCCCACCTCCTCCATATGATTGCCATTTCCAGACTCCATCAGTCCAACATTCTTACTGTACTGATTCCCAAACTTGTGTACAATATTTAGGGAGAATGTGAAGGCATTGGAAAAGGTGAAAAAGAATTCATCAGCATAAGGCCATAGCTGAAGTTCCTCATTCTTGAAGACAGACTGGAGGTAAAAGCCAAATACTGCAGATGCTGGAGATCTGAAATTAAGAACAGAAAATGCTGGAGAAACTCAGCAGGTCTCACCACATCTGTGGAGAGAGAAACAGAGTTTGAAACCAGCGAGGGGAGAAGGCCAATTCAATTGAAAGACTCAAGAAGGAATTAGACCTTTATCAGAAAAGGAAGAATGTGCAGCGTTTACAGGAAGAAAGGCACAAAGTTAAATGCTCATTATAAAAGCCAGTGTTGATGCAATGGGCCAAACAGCAGTCTTCTGCACTGCAACAATTCTGTGATCTTAATTCCCAAACTGTGCATGAGCATGAAGTGAAAACTAACAGGCATGCAGCGCATTGTACAGTTGTGAAGGTGTACTCACCTCTTTCCAGGTGGTGGGTGAAGCAGCAATTGGATCTCAGAGAACCACAGACACCAACAGAAAAAAAAAACCCAAACATTTAAAGTAGCCTTGCAGGTGTCAAAACACAATCTAGGTTCCATGGCCACACCATTGCTACCTGGGAACTTATGACTACTATTAGGGAACCTAGTTTACTCCAAACATCTGCATTAAGATCAAACCATTCAAAACTGTGCTGCACATATACAAAGCTGTACCATATCCTGCTTGTCCATCATTCCTGTTTCAGGGGTCTGTATAGGCTATTTGTCCTTTAGCACCTCAAATTTAAAAGATTCATTAAAAACCAGAGGACTGCGGATGCTGGAAATCAGAAACAAAAACAGAAATTGCTGGAAAAGCTCAGCAGGCCTGGCAGCATCTATGGAGAGAAATCAGAGTTAATGTTTTGGATGCAGTGACCCTTAACTGAGAACTTGTGATTATCACTCCTAAATCTTAGTTTTTAAGAGCTTACAGCTGTATCTTATTGTGTTATGCACCAAACCCCCTCAAAATATATCGAAGAAATAGCTAAACCATAAATTTAATCTTATTTAAAGGAAAGTGTAAGGCGCTGTGTTCCAGATGTGATTTGATTGGTCACACTACAAAACTTTAAGCCAAACTTTTTATTCTTTTTGTAAAATACAAAAAAAATTGGCACAGCTTTAATTCGATTGAAATACTTAACAAAACAATATCTTATTTAAGTACTTCACATCCACTATTCTAATATAGCATCACCCCCTAAACACACCATCAGCAAAGACAAATTCAGCAAAACAGATTTCCCTCACTTGCTATCTCCTCCAGTTTAGGAGAAAGTAAAAAACAAAAGAATGAATTGAGCAGCAGAGAGAAAGGTGTATCTAGCAGTTTCAACTCCATAAAACCTAACTTCAACAACCAAAAGCATAACTAAAACCTTGTGTTGTGTGAGCCTGACTCCACCCACCCATGCTTCTTTTATCTAATGTTTTAAAAAAAAAGCCAAAGCTATTTATTCTGCTTTCCACGGACCAGATACCTCAGTACCAGGTTGACAATCCACTCATCAAAAGAACAAAGATATAACAAATTCTTCTTTAAGGCACATGCTGCACACTTGTCATGAAGCTTATCTTCATGCCAAACCAGCTAGAAACTTGATTCAATCTTTAAAAAAAAATACAGATTAAAAAAATACAAAGTAACTAGAACTCACAGCCAAGATGGCCACCTAACTTGCATTACAGCATGTTCCACTTTGCAATCCCTACTGAGATAGAGCTGACATGTGCAGAAACCCATCGAAAACTCTCAGGGATTGGGAAATACTTCAACCTCCTGTCTCATTACCATGACATCTATGGTAATTATCTGTGGTATTCTACTGTTGGAGATAATGAGGCCTTGGCTAAGTTGGTTTACAAAATGAAATAATTACATCATCTTTAGGATATCTCATGTCTTTTGTTTTAGATTCCCCCGGCGGTTGGAGAAGGGAGGTCACTTGACAAGCCAATCTTAGTCATATATGTTCTCAGCAGAACTGAAGACAAAGACTTAGGGAGAAGACCTAAGTGGAGTCTATCTAGCCAATCTCCTCACCTAACTTGCAAACCTTGGGATCCTATCTACTATTTTTCATTTTCTGTCCATTTGCAACACAGACTATGAAGAAAGAACCCCACAGCTGTCACTCCAGAAGAATACATTCATCCATCTGCAGTTTAAAACTGCCTCAACTCAAAGCAAAAAAATGTACTGAATTCAACTTGAAGCCAGTTGAGCTACCAAACTACTGACTGCACATTTGTTTGCCTCTTTTTTTGCTAATTTGGCCAGCCTATCCCTCCCCACTCTGTAGTCAGTATTTGAGTGAGAGAGAGCTTCAAGTTTGTGTATCGGAGTGTATTTTGCCATTTCACCTCGATTGGTTTAAGTATAATAAAGTTGACCTTCTTCTTGTTAGATTGAAAAACCCTGTCCATTGGATTAAGAGACAACACTGTGTGGAGCTGGAGGAACACAGCAGGGCAGGCAGCATCAGAGGAGCAGGAAAGTTGACGTTTCAGGTCGGGACCCTTCTTCAGAAATGGGGAGGGGGAAACGGAGCTGGGAAATAAATAGAGGGCTGGGGCTGGGGAAGGTAGGTGGGATGGTGATAGGGGAGTACAGGTAGGCAGTGGTGGGGGTTGGTCAGTGGGATGGGTGGAGAAGGTAAGTGGGAGAGAAGATGGGCGGAGAAGGTAAGTGGGAGAGAAGATGGGCAGGTTGTGTCGGGTCAAGGAGGCACGAATGAGAGGGAGGGTTGGAAATGGGATGAGGCTTGGTGGGGGGGTGGGGTTGATTTTAAAACTGGTGTAGGCTCCCGAGGCGGAATATGGATTCCTTTGTGATCACAGCATGTAAGCTCTCATAGAATAGGAGAATCATAGAAACCCTACAGTGTGGAAGCAGGCCATTCAGCCCATTGATTCCCATCCAGACCCACATCCCTATCCTTTCCCTGTAACCCTGCACTTCCCATGGCTAAGCTACCAAGCCTCCATATCCTAAGAAAGAAGAACACAAAACAATACAGCAAAGGAACATGCCTTTGGTCCTTCAAGCCTGCACTGGCACATTTTGCCCTTCTATATTAAAACTGTCTTCACTTACAAGATTCATAACCCTCTATTCCCTTCCTATTCATGTATTCATCCATGTATCCCAGGATACTGGGTAATTTAGCATGGCCAATCAATCTAACCTGCACATCTTTGGTCTGTTGTAGGAAACCAGAGCACCCGGAGGAAACCCACACAGACATGGGGAGAACGTGCAAACTCCACACATACAGTGGCCCGAGGCTGGAACTGAATCCAGGGCCCTGGTGCTGTGAGGCAGCAATGCTAAACGTTGAGCTACCGTGTTTATCCCCAACACTTTGGCTTCAGTTTTCAGAAGCCCCTGCTTCTGGAGCTTGGCACAGCGAAAAAAAAAAATAGGGAAAGTTACTGGAGACAGTGGTGTAAATGACACCAACAGCAAAGCTGAGATCACTATACTGGCTGTGGTAGTTCATGGAGACTTGCCTCCTTTCTACGCCCCAGGCTTGATATGGAGCAGAGAGCCCGAAACTGTGTAACTCTGTCTTTCTCGAATAGACTTACCATCCTTCAAGCACTATGGCTCACTACAATCAGAATTTAAATTGAAACACTTAAAATTTACATCCGTTCTATTTAACTATCCAGCTACAGTAGAAATCACATGGATGTGCTGATTAACTACCATATTTTCCAGTGCAACATCTACAATATTGACACCAGGTTATAGTCCAACAGGAACAAAAACAGAAGTTGCTGGAAAAGCTCAGCAGGTCTGGCAGCATCTGTGAAGGAAAAAACAGAGTTAACGTTTCAGGTCCAATGACCCTTCCTCAGAACTCAACAGGTTTATCTGCAATCACAAGCTTTCGGACCATAGCCCCTTCGCCAGGTGAAGTGAGAGAGAAGGGATGACCTTCGCTTGTTATTCAGCTGTTGACACGCTGCTCACACCGTCTGACACTTCTAATCACCTGCAGAGACTTACTTCTCGACACTCCACTCACACCATTTTGCATGTTCTTTTGATGTCCCTGCCTATAAATTCTGTGTCTGTGTGCTTTTCTCTCAC